CATTAATACATTAAACTGTTAAGGCAATGGAAAACAGAGTTGGAGAGTATTGCTTCTACAGATTATTCAAGCGTTAGGCCCGGAGTGAAGAAACAGTGGCGATATTAGGTACATAGAGGCGGTGGTTCCTGGTAGATTCACACTGATGATTGCATATCCGGGTCTTTATAGCTGCCCTTTCGACAGTTAGAGTACTCGAGATCGTGTTGTTTGAGACGCGTATTAGGAGCCGTGAATAGCATACAGTAGATATCGATTCCAATCTCGCCTTGACCACCAAAATGACTTTGAATTCTGTTGGTTGTCATACAGTTTCCAAACGTTTCTGTAGAGAATAAATTGACTTCATTGGTGTGGATATACACATTTTATATCTTGTGTGGGTTGTGACACATAGCATATTGTCTTCATTTGTTTTGATACAGAACGTATTGGCTCCCATTGGTTGTGATACAGACCAGTGTGACTCCCATTGGTTGTGATACAGAACGTATTGACTTCCATTGGTTGTGATACAGGACGTATTGACTTCCATTGGTTGTGATACAGGACGTATTGACTTCCACTGGATTTGATACAGAACAAACTGACTTCCATTAGTTGGGATATAGAACATAATGACTTCCACTGGATCGAATACAGAATATATTGACTTCCATTGGTTGTGATGCAGAACGTATTGACTCCCGTTGGTTGCGATACAGAACAGTGTGACTCCCGTTGGTTGCGATACAGAACGTATTGACTCCCATTGGTTGTGATACAGAACGTATTGACTCCCATTGGTTGTGATACAGAGCAGTGTCACTCCCATTGGCTGTGATGCAGGACGTATTGACTCCCGTTGGCTTTGATACAGAACGTACTGACTCCCATTGGTTGTGATGCAGAACGTTCTGACTCTGATTGGTTGTGATGCAGAACGTATTGACTCCCGTTTGTTGTGATACAGAACGTATTGACTCCGATTGGTTGTGATACAGGACGTATTGACTCCGATTGGTTGTGATACAGAAAGTGTTGACTCCCATTGGTTGTGATGCAGAACGTATTGACTCCCATTGGTTGTGATGCAGAACGTATTGACTCCCGTTGGTTGTGATACAGAACGTATTGACTCCGATTGGTTGTGATACAGAAAGTGTTGACTCCCATTGGTTGTGATGCAGAACGTATTGACTCCCATTGGGTGTGATGCAGAACGTATTGACTCCCGTTGGTTGCGATACAGAACAGTGTGACTCCCGTTGGTTGCGATACAGAACGTATTGACTCCCATTGGTTGTGATGCAGAACGTATTGACTCCCATTGGTTGTGATACAGAGCAGTGTCACTCCCATTGGCTGTGATGCAGGACGTATTGACTCCCGTTGGCTTTGATACAGAACGTACTGACTCCCATTGGTTGTGATGCAGAACGTTCTGACTCTGATTGGTTGTGATGCAGAACGTATTGACTCCCGTTGGTTGTGATACAGAACGTATTGACTCCGATTGGTTGTGATGCAGAACGTATTGACTCCCATTGGTTGTGATACAGAGCAGTGTCACTCCCATTGGTTGTGATACAGAAAGTGTTGACTCTCATTGGTTGTGATGCCGAACGTATTGACTCCCATTGGTTGTGATGCAGAACGTATTGACTCCCGTTGGTTGTGATGCAGAACGTATTGACTCTCGTTGGTTGTGATGCAGAACGTATTGACTCCCATTGGTTGTGATGCAGGACGTATTGACTCCCATTGGGTGTGATGAAGGACGTATTGATTCCCATTGGTTGTGATGCAGAACGTATTGACTTGCATTGGTTGTGATGCAGAACGTATTGACTCCCGTTGGTTGTCATACAGAACAGTGTGACTCCCGTTGGTTGCGATACAGAACGTATTGACTCCGATTGGTTGTGATGCAGAACGTACTGACTCCCATTGGTTGTGATACAGAGCAGTGTCACTCCCATTGGTTGTGATGCAGGACGTATTGACTCCCGTTGGCTTTGATACAGAGCGTACTGACTCCCATTGGTTGTGATGCAGAACGTTCTGACTCTGATTGGTTGTGATGCAGAACGTATTGACTCCCGTTTGTTGTGATACAGAACGTATTGACTCCGATTGGTTGTGATACAGGACGTATTGACTCCGATTGGTTGTGATACAGAAAGTGTTGACTCCCATTGGTTGTGATGCAGAACGTATTGACTCCCATTGGTTGTGATGCAGAACGTATTGACTCCCGCTGGTTGTGATACAGAACGTATTGACTCCGATTGGTTGTGATACAGAAAGTGTTGACTCCCATTGGTTGTGATGCAGAACGTATTGACTCCCATTGGGTGTGATGCAGAACGTATTGACTCCCATTGGGTGTGATACAGAACGTATTGACTCCCATTGGTTGTGATACAGACCAGTGTGACGTCCATTGGTTGTGATACAGAACAGTGTTACTCCCATCGGTTGTGATGCAGGACGTATTGACTCCCATTGGTTGTGATGCAGAACGTATTGACGTCCATTGGTTGTGATAAAGAACAGTGTGACGTCCATTGGTTGTGATACAGAACGTATTGACTCCTATTGGGTGTGATACAGAGCAGTGTGACTCCCATTGGTTGTGATACAGAACAGTGTGACGTCCATTGGTTGTGATACAGAACGTATTGACTCCTATTGGCTGTGATACAGAGCAGTGTGACTCCTATTGGTTGTGATACAGTACAGTTTAACTTGATACACAACGTTTTGATTCCCATTGATCGTGACCTGCAGATTGTACGTACATTGGCTGTGAGACCACATTCATTGTGTATTGCAAGTTGTCTTCTTGGCATCTCTGGATATGTTTGATACCTAAAACATTATTTAATTCTTGATGCAAAATTGATTTTATGCTGCTGTGTATGTGCATCAGAACTAGGGCTGTAACAATGCATCGAACTATCGATGGATTGCAATTGTAGAGTCTCCGATAGCAATTAATCGATTGGAGAAACGAAAAACTATCTTTGCATCGACATTATGTGTGAATATCGTTTGTTTAGTAATTGAGAGCAAAATACAGGAAGTACCATATTCGTTGACTTTGGTTTTGAGTTATCCGCCCCTGTTACCACTTAAACAAATATGGCGGCAAACACGGCATGTGACTTGGAGTTTGAAATTGTGAATAAATATGCTTTATGTTTTAACTGTTTACTTGAACTGGGTTTCAAGTTTCTTGTCAGTTATTAAAAGAGACTAAAACAACTTCGGTATATTATTTCTATTATACTATTTCATATAACTGTACATTCATTTGGGAAATGACTTTAAATGAGACAATTCAAGGAGAGAAAAACTATTGTAAAAGTATTGCAATAGTTGGTCGCAAGAGACTATCGCTATCGCAATAGTTGGTCGCAAGAGACTATCGCTATCGCAATAGTTGGTCGCAAGAGACTGTCGCTATCGCAATAGTTGGTCGCAAGAGACTATCGCTATCGCAATAGTTGGTCGCAATAAACTATCGCTATCGCAATAGTTGGCCGCAAGAGACTATCGCTATCGCAATAGGTGGTCGCAAGAGACTATCGCTATCGCAATAGTTGGTCGCAAGAGACTATCGCTATCGCAATAGTTGGTCGCAAGAGACTATCGCTATCGCAATAGTTGGTCGCAATAAACTATCGCTATCGCAATAGTTGGTCGCAATAAACTATCGCTATCGCAATAGTTCGTCGCAAGAGACTATCGCTATCGCAATAGTTGGTCGCAAGAGACTATCGCTATCGCGATAGTTGGTCGCAAGAGACTATCGCTATCGCGATAGTTGGTCGCAAGAGACTATCGCTATCGCAATAGTTGGTCGCAAGAGACTATCGCTATCGCAATAGTTGGTCGCAAGAGACTATCGCTATCGCAATAGTTGGTCGCAATAAACTATCGCTATCGCAATAGTTGGTCGCAAGAGACTATCGCTATCGCAATAGCTGTTTCACCCTCAATAGTCACCCCTAATCAGAACATATTCGCCCAACGTTATAGTGAGTACACTACACATTCGGTACAAATAACTTTGCGTATTAACTAATAGTGATTGTAATACGGTGCGTATTAGATGATATAGTGCGCCTCCGCCAACAATGATTGTAATACAGTGCGTATTGGATGATATAGTGCGCCCCCGCCAACAATGATTGTAATACAGTGCGTATTAGATGATATAGTGCGCCTCCGCCAACAATGATTGTAATACGGTGCGTATTGGATGAAATAGTGCGCCCCCGCCAACAATGATTGTAATACAGCGCGTATTGGATGATATAGTGCGCCTCCGCCAACAATGATTGTAATACAGTGCGTATTAGATGATATAGTGCGCCTCCGCCAACAATGATTGTAATACAGTGCGTATTGGATGATATAGTGCGCCTCCGCCAACAATGATTGTAATACGGTGCGTATTAGATGATATAGTGCGCCTCCGCCAACAATGATTGTAATACGGTGCGTATTCTGAAACATTGTTTTTAATATAATGACTATCGGTGACTTTTATACAGGAATAGCCTACAGGTGGCTTGGGTATACAGGTTAGCATGTTTCTTTACAAAAAGCAATTAATTTTTCCATGATTCATAAAACAACTGAACGTTCAGATTTTACTTCACCCTCATATTAAATATATGGGCTATTGTTATGTTGGTGATTAACAAAAACGGCGTCCGCCCAATCACGTCAGTTGCTGTATGTCCGGAGGACCACGAAACAGCGGGACATGTTCCCACGCCACAAGGCCAACCGACATGATGAGTTAAATCTCAAAGATCATTTATTAGATAGAAACCAAAGACAATAACTGAAGGCAGCAGCGTATATCAGAGCCCACGCCGAGGGAAATACCACTTGACGGGATATTGGTTTGCTCCCGACTTGGATGCCTCGCAAATCAATCCCGGAACATTCCCAAGCACCACGTTCCAAGAACTTGTGACAAATGACTTGTGTTTTCAATGCAGATAGAGCAGATAAAAGCCATTGGCTGGGTTAATGAGATCTTGTGGCGTCACTTGGTTTTGCTTATGCACGGTCTAGTGACGTGAGACAATGGTTTTGCTGATGTACGGGGAATAAAGTAATATATGAGAAAACATTAATGACTTTATTACTACATAGAGTGTGAATGTTCCCTACGTAAGGTCAGAGTATCATGCTTTTAATACCGCAGTGTTCTGGAATTAATCCACATGCACTGGTTGTACAATAATACTTTATTTCCCCGGCAATCGATGAGTGTGCTCTCAGTTTTAGTTCTCGAACCCCTGTGAAGTATACAACCAAACCTGCCTGCGAAGGTTGAAGGTTAACATTCACATGTTCATCTCGTTCTACCGGGTACCACCCATGAAGGTCCGGGTTACAATGAACCACAGTAACCCATGCTTGTCGTAAGAGACGACTAACGGGATCGGGTGGTCAGGCTCGCTGGCTTGGTTGACACATGTCATCGGTTCCCAATTGCGTAGATCGATGCTTATGCTGATGATCACTGGATTGTCTGGTCCAGACTCGATTATTTACAGACCGCCGCTATATATCTGGAATATTGCTGAGTGCAGCGGAAAACTAAACTCACTCACTCATCCTACCGGGTACCCATTCCCAACTGGGTGAACAGAGGTATAATTTTAAAGAAGTAACTTTTAACGCGTCACTTCGTGTCTTACATGTGCTTGACGTCACAGGAGTCGCGCATCACCCATCCAAGTACTCACAGAACAGCCTTTGATTAAATTCACCTAATCTGTGCCCTCAACACTTTCGGCGGGTGAATATTTCATACAGTGTCTGACATGCTGATTTGTCAGGCCTCCGAAACCACTCCATACTGTACTATAACTGAAGGTCCGCAGTGATGCTTCTAGAATACTGTGAGGCGGTGGGAGAGCCTAGTGGTTAAAGCGTTCGCTCGTCATACCGAAGACCCGTGTTCGATTCCCCACATGAGTACAAAGTGTGAAGCCTATTATTGGTGTTCCCCGCCCTGATATTTCTGGAATATTGCTAAAAGGGGCGTAAAACTATACTCACTCACTCTAGAATATTTGGCGGAGCACCACACCGTTGCCCGCCTACTCACCCGCCCTGTCGCTCACTCTTCGCTGATGTCATATGGAGATCTGGTCAGTGAGAGCGCTAAAACGCCTGGGCCTAGATTTTCTTAGTGCTAAGATAGTCGTGGGTGAATGTTAACTCTTTCCATACGACGTAAATTTTTCACAGATGCACATATATCCTAAGGACGTTATATCACGTCCAGGCATCTACAACCCTTGCATTCGACCAGATATTTCCATCCGTAGCCTCTGAATTCGATGGACGAGAAATTACGTCCAATTTTTTACAATGTTTCCATACGGGGGACGTGATAACCCGTCTACTCATACTTAACATATATCACAGTTTTCTAGCCGTGTATCCTCGTCCTTCGAATGCAATTCGTGTACTTTGTGACGGTGCATTATTTAGGATTTACTTGATTATCTCCCCTGGTCAAAACCACGTGCTATATGATCTTGACATTCGGTGACCACACAGCGTTAAATGGCTGGTCGTGGAAAATCGTATAGGACTACAGGCCAAGTTCTATCTGCCATTTGTGATGATGAGTAACTGGTACGACGTTTGACGTTTGATTGTTAGCAATGTTGTTTGACTGTTGACTGCTCGTATAACTGTTACCACAGGTAACACTCGTTTCATTCGTTCTTTGGATGTCATGACCCTATAATCCTAAGTGATGACATAAATCTACTAAATTGTGGTTGTTCTTCCACCGTAGTGTAGTCACAGGATTGACAAAAATTGTCATAATTATCACAGTACTGTGTAAGTTCAATTATGTTCAATTATTACCAATGTTTCTGGGCTAAAGACGACCTAATATTTTCTCTTTTAGTCGGGGATATTTTAATAAAAGTGAATAAAGATGTTTGAAAAATATCAGTTCATATGGATTTTGACGTTATGTTCCTCTTGAATGGTCCATCTCAACCTTGCAACATGCAGACGTAATATCACGTCCCTCGTATGTAAGTGTCATGTTGCTTAAAATAGTCTCGTATCAGAAGTGATATCTCGTCCTTCGAATGGAAAGAGTTAATGCATGGCACTTACGGCTATCTTAGCGCTAAGAGAGCTTCGAAAATCTAGGCCGAGAATGATACTGAGCTAGGTTACGCTGATCTTGATAGGTGACCAGAGAGTTGAGGGTCAGAGATCAGATCCCCCGTCGCCTCATACTGAAGACGTTAGAAGATGGTACTTGTTGTTACCCTGTCTGCCGGTCAGCACGAAGGGGATGGAACAAGGACAGACGGCCCTGAGACGTTACATTGGGTCTGAGCGGCGTATCCAGAACAATAGTGTACAGCCATGGCCATATTTCACTTTTGCGTAGCCTAGTGGTTAAGGCGTTCGCTCGTCACGACGTGACCCGGGTTCGATTCCCAACATTAGTAGATTGTGTGAAGCCTATTTCTGTTGTTCCCCGCTGTGATACTATTGGAATATTTCTAAAGAGGAGTAAAACCATACTCACTCACTCACTCTCGACATGATGTTATCTACAGACCGATGTATACTGTATCATTTGATAGAAAACCTGCGGCTGTAAAGATCCGGATTAGAATTGGTCTTCAGCATCCCATGATTGTCTCAAATCGGCGTAAAACCCAACTCACTCACTCATCCATTTCACCTCAAAATGTTCACTACATATGGAGATAAATCCCAACTATACATGACGTGACGTTGTGCTAAAGACCTATTGCTATTTTCCTAACAAGCGATACCATAATAAGGACGAATCGGCAATTTTGAACCTAGACTCACCTGATCCTGCTTTAGTAAAGGGGCGCAACCCTGCAGAGAATAAGCAACTTTACAACTTTCATATCATTAACTGCCCTCCCCGATGTTACATGTTCGTATTTCTATTCTCAGTGAGACAACTGACTTGTAAACACGCAAAACATCACATGGGACGGATCAGTCTCTGGTGCAGTGATGACACTTGATCGTTAAAACACAACAGGGACTCATCTATTTGCAAGATGAAGTAGCTGGGTTCTCCACTCCCTCGACGAAGGCCCGCTGAAGGCATAAATCTATTTTGTATACGCTTGAAAGTGTGAGATGTTTGCCAAGTGTTGTTGATGATGTTGTTTGAGAACTGCCTGTGGTGCATTCAGCTGTCAATGGGAAGCCATGTTGTTTCAAGCCATAAGTCATGCACTTACCGAAATACCAACGACAAGATCTCATTTTTATCATAAAAATATCTCACAAAAGGAAAGTTAGCATGTGTTTATAATAGTCCATAGCGTTTGTTCGTATTCTGTCTGCTGGCCGCACGCAAAAGCAAGTCATGTTCCCTTTAACAAACAGGGGAAAATATGGCATAAATACGGAATTACATCAGACTGAATTGCTCAAATTTGGAAGCATTATATAATATTTAGAAATATTAAAGATAAAAAGTCAGTTATCATCAACTGCTGCGTAGCTGACTTACAGTATGTTCAACAAAGACAGCACCGTCGTGCGACTTCTTCACCGCTACTTTTGTTGCAAACAGTAAGACAGTTTATGGTGGTTGATGCGCAGTATCTGGCATGAGGTGCGTCCCCTGACCTAATCTCGGTCGCTTTGCCACTGGGAGATTGTGTTACGTTCACAAAAGTCGGATATATTTAGTGAAACAGACTACAGTTATACTAAGTCACAAATCAGTTGAAGTCCTTGGAAGGGTGACCGTGTTTCACAGCTTGACTCCTCGGAGTTTCCAGGACCTCTGTCTTGCCCCACAACGAAGCACGCATGGGAGCCTCGGAGCTTGTTCAAAACTTCATCTGTTCACCCAGCAGAACATGGGTAACTGTTAACCTTCCAGCGACTTGCTGGCAGAATGGGTTATGCCGGGAAATAATGTCTATCATGTTGTGTACGCTAAGAGCATGTAAGTGCATGGTGGAGTTCAGCGCTGTATAAGTGGCCCTACTATCGTTCACAGCCTCTGTGACGTCATACATTCGTCACATTCACGTTTTCCCCTTTCACCCATACACGATTCGTCATAATGATGATTTTGCTTCCTTGACCGACATCGGTAACCATGGTTACCTGTCCTCGGATCGAGAATGTCCGTAGGGTGTCCGCTGATTGCTCGACCAAGTCTAGACGTCTTGATTAGTGTCGAAATCAATTAAGGATGACAAGGGGATGTCGCAGTTGAGTACCTAGAACGTGTCTCCTTGTACTACTATGAGCCTGTATTGTTAAGGTGCTGACTCGACAAAACAATTTGACAGCCCTTCCCTAATTGAATGGTGCACAGAGTCTAATCCATTCTCGTCAGAATGTTCTGATGCCCTCGATAGAAATAGGATGCCCTTTTCAGAAACCAAAAATGGTTTTCCTCATAGTCACCACGTTTTTTGGGCCTGCCTGCAAGGCTGCCTTTTCGAACTTAAGATGAAACTAATGTTTGATGTCCAGTGAGTGAGTATGGTTTTACGCCGCTTTTAGAAATATTCCAGCATTATCACGGCGGGGGCAACCAGAAATTGTACACACGTTGTACCCATGTGGGGAATCGAACCTGGGTCCTTGGTGTGACGAGCGGACACTTTAATCACGAGGTAACCCCGCCGCCCCCGATGTCCAGAGATATTTTCTTCCGGGAAAAAGAATATTTACAGCAATGTTTGATGGTGGCTGGTAGTGAAACATACGAAAAGTGGTTATTCAATGGTGATGTTTGGTGCCTAAGTATGCGGTGTATCGTCTACTGTTTTCCACTACATAGCGTGTTTATAAATTTTGCAATGTTTTGATCAACTCCAGAAATTGTATATTATCGAAAGGCAGTTTATATGTGCACAGCAATAACAAACAAAGTGTGAAATCTTGGCCATTTTTGACCTTTATTGGTGGCCAATGTGACCCGTCTAAGAAGTCGCATTTCGCTGTACAGAGTTAATCCCCATAGGGAAGCCTATAACCGTGGGTACGAACCCCGGTTTGCCAAGATTGCATGTCTAGGTGGCTTTCGGTGGTGTCAATTTCTGTGTCCTCCGCCGTGATATTGCTGGAGTAAAGCTAAAAGCGGCGTAAAACCTCACTCACTCACGCACTCACTCACTCACCACAGGTGAAGTTCCAGTGCCTGCATGTGATATCACTGGAATAGTGTACAAAGCGGCGTTGAGCCAAAGGTTCTTCATCTAAACCGTGGATCTGTTGCCCTTCGATCTTACACTGTATTCCGGGCGTGTGGTCAAGCTGCGATCATACGGAGAGTAGCACTGATATAAACATTCACCGGTTATACTCGCCATGGTGAGCCTGTGTACAGATCAATACATACTGTATAATTTGATGAAATGTTTACTGACGGGCAATTATACATTATACATTCGGAAATTGGATTTGACAAAACATACTAACGTATCTAAACGTAAGGCATGACACAACAAAACGCGAGCTTCAAATTCATCTTCCTCGAGTAACCATTTCTCGGCGGTAATGACGGTTGTATTTTGCTTGTGAGTTAAGATAATGTTTGTGTGGTACTTTTCAAATAGTACAGCAGTTAGTTTCGGTATTATTTACTGAACTTAATCGATTATTTAAGACTTGGCTTGTAATAGTATCTTTGAAAAATGTTTTCATGAACACTTGCCTCAGCTTCTCGTGAACATCTGTATCGTCACGTTTTACTGACAGATAAAGAAGCTGAAATCCATACGTCAGCTCGACCATGGCTGAAGGTGATTTCAGCATATTCCCAGAAGAGACTTCTATGTGGCAACACCTGCTGTAAGATTAAGAGAGAATCAATTGGAGCGTTGTGTATTCATGAGAAACCAAATCTGTCAAGCCCATGCGGGTTAAGTCCCTGAATGAGACGGGGTTTTTATTGTTTGGTATTGATATATTTCACGTTTGAATACACAACTGGATTATCGATAATTTAAATATCAACTTGACTTTATACGACAAACGAACTGAAAATCGCCTGGGTAATTTTTGATGATTTTCAAAATTGACTGAATGCGTCATCACACAGGGAAATTTTGAGAGTGTAAATTTGTCATTCAGTGGAAATTTATCGACTGGTAGTTTTGAAGGCTTCGTGTATAAGCTGTGTGAGCGCTTTCGTAGTACCTGAAATAACAGAGCCCATTAATTATGATCAATATCTTATTCTCGTGTACCCAAGACGCCAGGGGGCGAATCGTCTAAGGCGCCGCTCAGTTGTCTCCCTTATCCGTGTAAAGATCCGGAGCAGTCCAGCGTACCCTCAGTAGTTTGTTTCACAAAGGTTTTCAATGTCGAAGACCTTTATTCTCGTAACTCGTTGGAATATAACTGTAGTATTTATAAAAGCGGTACCAAACCCAACTCAAACATCCACATTATACCGACCACCGCCATGGACTATTACTGAGTGAGGTGTTAAACAACATACAATCACAAATACTCCCTTAATCCGCCACACGTCATGTGTGCTCACTGTGTGAACGGTGGGTCCTCTGCATCATCAACAGACCAGACATTTCATCATAGGAATGTTACATCAAGCATAGGTCAGGACACACCTGTAAATTCGAAAGTTTCGAGGGATGACTGAAGTGAGCAATCGCTCATAGTTTTTCTTCATTTTGCATCCCTTATTTGGATCTCTAAATATAGTTTGGTTTGGGACTTTGTTTCATAACCACTGCGACGTAAGAGATGTGTAGAGGGACATGTTTGGGCTGACGTATTTTAACTTAGAATCACTTGGTGTTGATTTTGTGATATTGTTATGCTTCAATTTGCCTTCTTCACCAACACAAACAGTTAACTCTACCCCAATTGTCAGTCATCAGTTTATATACAAAATCGGTTGTGTCGAACTCATGGTTGTCACAAAGTAAATTCTTGCACCTTGAGTAATAATAATTATAACGTCCATTTGTATGGCGCCGTTTCCACACACTAGTGTATGCTCATGGCGCCCTGTGTGTACAGCTAAAAAACTATTTCCTATTTTAGTCATACGTCGATGTCGAACTCATGGTTATCTCGAGGTAAAGTCTTGCACCTTGAGTATTCCTAAGTCATACGTCGATGTCGACTCATGGTTATCTCGAGGTAAATTCTTAACTTTGAGTATTCCTACTTTAGTCATACGTCGATGTCGAACTCATGGTTATCTCGAGGTAAATTCTTGAACTTTGAGTATTCCTATTTGTCATACGTCGATGTCGAACTCATGGTTGTCTCGAGGTAAATTCTTAAACCTTGAGTATTCCTATTTTAGTCACGTTGGTGTCGAACCTAGGCTAACTCGAAATATTAACGCATCGATTTATGTTTTGTTTGGATCGAATACTTAAGTCACCAAAAGGGTTTTAGTCCAAGAACTAGGCTACCTATTCTCAAAACGTTCGTAGCCCTTCGAACTTCTTAAGCCTATTCTTAACACATTGGCTTGGATCAAAAAATTCCTAAGGCTACGAACGTTTCGAGAATAAGGGCCCAGGAACCCAGAACCAGGAACGAGTGGTTTCAGTATATTACTACATTTTGTTGAATGTAAGTTATTCTCTGTACGCCCCTGTTGTTCAGTCTTGTTCCGTTTCAGGACAGGATGACTACTTCCCAGAACAAAGGAAGATGTCCAATGAACAGAGGTTGATGCGAGAACTCACGGAGGAGTACGAGACTTCAGTGAGACCTGTATACAGCGCCGCGGACGCAGTGGACATTGGGCTCGGCTTGACCCTGACACAGATTCTGGACTTGGTAAGGACAGTGGGTTTTTTCATAGACAAACCTCCTTATGATTAGTGAAGATCCGGTTTATAGTTGATTTTCAGCAACCCATACTTGTCGTAACAGGCGACTAACGGGATCGAGTGGTCAGACTGGCTGACTTGCTTGATTTATATCTCTATTGCGGAGGTGGATGCTCATGCTGTTTATCACTTGATCATCTGGTCCAGACTCGACTATTTGCAGACCGCTGTCAGATAGCTTGAGTGCGGCGTTAAACATCAAACAGAACTAATTAGTTGGACTCAGTGTTCCTCAGCTGTATCAGGTATATGTTATCAACCAACAATTAGTGCACCGACTCTCTAGATGAGCTTGTGTTAACACTCATAAGAGTCAGGCATAGGTGGTTATAATGAGTTAATATCGTATACTGCAGCTGAATACTGGAAATAGCTAAGCAGTAAGTTCGTATTGATGGGGAATATATTACCTGTAATAACTCGTTATTACCTGGATGTAGTATTCCTTAATAGGTTGAATAATTACTCAAACAACCTGTTTTACTACAAATATGAGGGAATGTAAACCTGAAGTTCACGCGCTATATTTACGCATCACAAGGAAAAGATATTCAAAACAACCGGGAATGATGAAAGTAATTAGCGGGAGTAATCATTCAAATACCGGAAATGACCACCCGATATGCCCAGGAATTCTACTCCAATTAGGGCCTGTAAGTCTTGCAAGGTGCTACTTCCGGTACTGAGCTGGTTTCCGGCTCCCTTTGCGCGTGCCAAATTGCAATATGCGAGACGGGGCCCAGTTTTTTTTCCGTTTCAAGATTTCTGGAGGCGGTATATCCAAATTGCACTACCGCCAAATATGACTTCACTACACCGGACCAAATGTACAGCCATGCTTGACTGTCATGTTGACAGTCGTAACAGTTGCCTAATTTGGGAATGGTTAGATCGAAAATTTGTTATTCCAGCAAGGATTATCGGTTGATTACTGTCAGCTGACACCTATGAGACCATTCAAAAAGGTATGAAACGTTGTTTGTCAACAGAGGTACTCAGGTCTCGCGAGGTGCCGTGACCTACTTACGATCCCTATTCAAAAGGAACAGTTTCTGAAGCTAGAGAGAAATGCCCGCAATAACCGATGGTTTGTTATGTCCAGAGCTGGTTTTACGAAGATGAATGGAGAGGATGGTCAGGCTCTGTGGATCGCTGCTGTTGTGTCGACGACTTTAAATATTGCTCTTATCATTAGTCACTGATTTGTCTGGCTAAGGTTTCATTTCATGAGGGCCTCCGTCTCATACGTAGAATACTGGTGAGTGGGACGCTAAAGAACAAGCAAACCAAAACGGGACCCCGAAACGTTTAAGCATGGCCCCATTTCCCAGGCTACCGTAACGCTGCGACGGTCATAACTCTATACTGTAACATATTTATTCTAACATAGACCTAGGACATACGTCGTCAATTTTAAACAAGAATACACAACGCAAGTGGGGTTCTTACTGTAAACAAACTTCCTCGATCAGGCACTGGCCTGGTGACCCCTCCTCCCCCCCCTCGTCCCCGTGTGGACTGACATGAGTGAGTAATATCATATAGTCAAAGAGTGAGTGAGTGAGTTTAGTTTACGCCGCAATCAGCAATATTCCACCTGTATGGCGACAGCCTGTAAATAATCGAGTCTCTACCAGACAATCCAGTGATCGGCAGCATGAGCATCGATCTACTTAAATGGGACACGATGGCATGTGTCCACCAAGCCAGCGAGTCTGACCACCCGATCCCGATCGCCTCTTGTGACGAACATGTGTTGCTGAAGACCAGTTCTAACCCCAATCGTCACACAAGGCACTGAGAGATACTATCAGGTCATCATGCATATTCATTACACACACGAATACATTTCAGACACACGTAAGTCAGCATTTCTTTCAGACATATCAGATTGTTCACTGGAATAGAACAAGTTCCATTTACTTCGCAACTTCACTTATTAGTTGCAAATATCCTGCAATCTTTCCACGTGCAGCGGGCAATCTGTTAATAGGTATCAATACGTCAAACTACATACCAATTCCTTGTCAATCTATTCATCCAAACTGAAGGTTGTATAGCTAAGGATGATGACATAGGGTGCTAAGGGATCGGGAGATAACATCATTAGCTTCCTACAGAGTGTATTTTAAGGTTCTTTTTTAAATATCTATACATATATTCATTTTTCTTTCTGCTTCCCCTTAGTATGTATGGTGATCTGATAGTGCCCGCTGTCCTGCGAGACCCTTGAAAGATTCAAACAGACACTTTATCGCTTTGGGACGAAGGAAACCAACGCCAACCGAACCATCAAGTTATTATTCAAAACAAGTTTGACAAATAGTGTTTTAATAGCTATCAATGCGTCAAGTCACTATTGCTTTTCTGCTGATGTATTTCATTCTTCAATATTGGGTTAGCTGCGTGGCTTGACTTCTATGAATAAATTCCCGATGTTCTGGGGGTTACCAATGTGTTTGAATGAATCTCGTTACGTCGATTCGCTATCAATAGCATTGCAATGGGGGGTTACATGTGGATGCCTCAGGTATTAGATCCGTATTGAAAAAAAATACATTTTTGATTGGGAATTATTAATCCTGTAAATAGCCACATAAGGCCCACACTCGGCGTGATTTAGGGATGATTTTTTATATGATTGTATGATTAATGTTCCAACTTTCGATATGTTTTACGACATGGCATATTCAGTCTCATTGCGCACCGCTGAGTCAACAGATGGTAATTCGTTGTTCAAAGAGACCATTTATAACAGATCTGAAACTGAAGGTACATTCAATGACACTTTAGATTTCAAATGATTCCATGAAGATGGCTTTGTCTAATAGCTTAATGATCACATTTATCACCGCTATTATTTCTAGAAAGTTCCATTAAATATAATTCTTTATTATCCTGTAGCCGTTCCTTCTGGAGATTGGGGAATAAAACTGTTTCTTATATTTGTACCAAGTCAAATTTCGTTTATATTCTTATTCTTATCAGGGTCTATATTGGCATATTATCCCCTCGGTCGATCCCGATTTGTATCTATAACCCAGGAAATTCTAACTTCTAACTTATTCTTGCATTTTTGTTAATTTTGTTCTGGTGATGTTACGAAATGGCTATATATATGTTGAACCTTTTCTGTGAAGAATGGGACGTATATGTACCAGTCCATGTCTCTTTATCAATATATACCTCGAGCACCCCCTCCCGATCGGGTAAATGCTTTAATTTCATATAGATATATATATATATATTATTAGGGCTGCGCAATACAACCGGTTTACCGGTATTTACCGGTTCAGACATGAAAACGATACGTATTGCGATACGCTGATCGAAAACCTGTATTCTTACTTGCATTCGGAAAACTTCGTAACACTCGGAAATCTTCGGATATTTCCTTGTTTCATTTGTGCGAAATATTATTCACATTTCTATTTCATCATGATTCAAAGTTGCTATTAAAGCTTAATCAAGCATAGTGATATTGCTGTGTTTTTGCTCTATAAATCAAGCATTAACTCGATTATAAGTAGTTTTTTGTTTGAACATACTTCATGCAATATATTGCAATACATATCGCAATACATGCCTTTGCATCGCAATATATCGCAATATGAAAATTTTCTGCAATACCCACCCCTATATATTATACATCTTATTCCTACCCACTATAATTGTGTGTTTTTTTCCGATTGTGTGGCTGGTTTCATTCTCGCTTTTCTCTGGACCTAGAAAAAAATAGTCCTTGAGGAAATTCATCAAGAAAGAATAACAGTGTATCCCCAAATTGCTTGAAGGGCGATAAATATGATGACTTAGTAATTCACGGGGCAAATGCTCTTTAATCCTACTTTATTTCTATTTTTGACCCAAATTTCGGAATCGGAGACGTACACGCACAGAGAAGATGATAAATGCTTGCTTAGCTTGCAAAGAAGAACTAAGTAGATGGCGCCATTCCAACTCCAAAGTTCACTCTCATGTGATACGCTCTATACTTTCTAACTCTGCACCTCGATCTTCACTTCCGGTATCACACACGACAATGCTCATGCATAGCGACATTCCTGTATGTTTGTGTGTTTCTTTAGTGTTCATGCGTGTGCGTATGTGTGGCTACTTGTAATAGAATAAGGCCACTGACAATTTATATTATCTCACTCAAACACCACTCGGACACACTGTACTGGGTGCAGTGGGGTAGTCTAGCGGTTAAAGCGTTCGTTCGTCACGCCGAAGATCCGGTTCGATTCCCCACATAGGTACAATGTGTGAAGGTAATTTCTGGTGTCCCTGTCGTTGGACTACTGCTCAAAGGCATACTCATCCACTCTGTGCTGCCTTCTCGTCCTTGGCCTCGTCACAGCAGTGTTATTTCACAGTATATGTCATGTGATAGTCACGTGCACGGTGTGTGTCCCAATATAGATTCCCGCTTGCACTAGCCGAGGTCGTTATGGTAATACGAGGAGCAACACGCCTCAAAACGACGTGAAATGGCGAGATGAAAAAACGCTATTGAACTTTGATTGCAAGTTTGGCTAATCTGCCCTTAAAACTGTCACCAAACGGCGATTTATGGCGACCAGTGTTGTAATATCACCTTTGATTACAAAGTCTCGTGAGTCTCGCAAGTTGACGTCTGCACACTTCACCACCGGCAATGGCGTAACTAACAACCCACGACCTCGTTCTGATTCAAATAAACTCCCTGCCTTTGGACATACGTTGAATAATGATTTCTCCCCGAATTTGACCCCCCGGGGACGAATCGGATTGCTCCAACTGCTTTCTTCATCTGATATATCTCAGGCGCGCTCGTCCTTGAAATTAAATTGCTGATGTAAATCAATTTGTCATTATCTCCACGCGTCCCCTCGTGGACAAGTAACCTATGCGTGTTTCATTGCTCAGTTGTGGCACGTGACATGTAATGGAGTGGCTGTTGCT